CTGCTCTACAACTCTTTGGTCTCCATTTTACCATATATTTAAATTTCCTTCATTTGCCTAATGTTTATTTTTACCCGAGTGTCTTGCTGCATGTCTTCATTCCTTTGGCCTTTCTTGTGTTTTTTCCACCAACCAGTCCCACGTACCTCTTTTTAAATCATTTCCACAGATATGCTGCCTCCTGTCTTCTTCTGTTCTTCATTTTCCCATTTTCATGCCTTTTGTCAGTTTTTCTCTTCACCTCATTCACTCCAGGGCCTTTTGTAGTTTGCTCATGTGTGCCTTGCTCATGTTTCTTGGTGTGTTTTCATTTAAATGTGCAGACCAGTAATGGCAAGATACAAAGTAATTGGTTCACTTGATAGACAAACAACAGAAAGTGGGAGCCGGTGTTGGTCAGATGTGACTGACATAGCATTACATATAAAGCAAATGCAAATGTGCAGAAGCAAATATTATTTTAAGTGATGTGTTTGTCACCAAATGTTTTGCAGCTGTAAACTTTCTTTTAAGTTTAACTCCTGTCGATCAGGAACATGTAAGAAGAAGAGATCATAGTCTTAGCAAAAGAAGTTCCACATTAGATCACTGACATGCATTAATGTGGCTCAAATCAATGCAAGTATACATGGATAGGCAATTTAACTCTCCTGCAGTTGGCTCCTGCAGTCACTGAAAGAGTAATATCAACATAATTGTCAAACAAATTTAATACAGACTTTTGTTACATTAAATCTGTTTAATTTTAAGATGCATGACACACTTGATAAGAGAGTTTCATTCATTTTTAAATGTGTTATTTCTGTTGTAATCTGCTTCACAGTGGCCACATTTGACCAAAACATTCAGTAAAAACTGATCTATTGGAGTTGTGTAGTAATAAAAATAGCCAAAGTGCATCACTGTTTCCAGTATGTCTCTCTCACTATTCATTGTGTAATTTCTTTAGCAACATGTTCTGCACCAGAAACTATGCTGTTTAAATAATTCTTTTAGATTTGACAAACCATTATTTGTTGACATGCATTGGATGGAAACCCAGCAAATGTATCTTCCTTCCTCTGTCCTTTTATTAATTATTCATTCAGTCAGTAGTTGTTGCTCTCTGATGGATTCATGGAGTGGCAGGGCTGCTGTGTGTGTTTATGTGTGTGTGTGTGTATACACTCCCCTCCGCTCCAGATGATAGCAGAGGGAAGCATTGAATCCACCAATAGGCCTTGTGATAGACATGCTTAAACATACCAACTAATTATATAGAAGTAAATTAAAGTTTTCACATCCTCTGTTCTGTTCCCCTGTAATAAACATCTGTGATCTGAACACAGGAAAGCAGCACACACAAGGACTATGAACGCAACATGATGGTACAAAAGAGAGAACACACACTCACAGGGACACACAAAGTACACTCTCATCCCAGATTGATACCAATCATGTCACCGCTAATCAGGGTGCTTGGTGAACAAAGCTGTGAGAGGAATCCAGTTATATCACAGATGATAGAATCGTTTACTGTGGATGAGGACGGTAGATGAAGTGCATGGCCGCCAATATGAATCCACCAGTTATTCTCAATTCTGGGAAAATTACAGCTTTGAGGTTTCTGGAGCACAGTGATGATATGTTCTCAGAATTATCAGGCGCACAATCCTGTAGAGTTACATGAAAAGTAGAAGACATTTCTCCACATGTCTGAATTCCCTGGCCTCACATCGAATCACTGAATGAATAAAAATGTGGAGGTCTTCTTTTCTGCCATTTTTAATCCAGCCCAAGTTTTCACCTAAGCAACAAGGGCATTTGTTTGTCAGTATTTTGCCAACAGTTCCAAAAAACATGCCTGTGTGTTTTCAGATCTGCTGCTTTTAGTTTTAGGTAACTAAAGGCTCATGGTTAGCATAAGCAGAAGGTCATGGATATTTGGGTGGGTAGCGTCCACAGTTGGTTATGTTTTAATAAAAGAACAGTGATTGTGCCACTTGAAACTCAGTCTCTTGGATGAAAGTCCAATGTCTACACACTCACCCTTATTTTCTGCCTTGCTACACAAATGACATACAACTTTGTGCAATAGCATTGAATGTTAGACATTGTATGAAACTGTTCAGTATATTCACAATACTGGGTTGTATTACCGGTACAAATAAAATAACATGGATCAATAAAATGAGACAAAGTTTAATAGAACTCTTTGTTCTCTGGAAATGCACAACCTTAGCATACATTTAATTTTCTGTTCTGTTAAATGTTCTGTACTAAAAAAGGACGTTAATACATTTAATCAACTTTGGCAGTGCCATGCATCTTCATATGGCTGATTAGAGTGTGCGCCAGTTTGCTATCCTAAAAGCAACAAGTATTTTAATTACATAAAACACCAACATGGCACAGCCATATGTTGTATGATCTCCAGACAGGCTATATTGTAGAGTACAGTGATTTAACAGATGTTCACACTCAAGGCTGCCTTCCAGCAATGGCCAAAATTAAAGAGTCTTACTGTAGATTAAAAACGCAGCATTTAACACGAGTGCAAAGCTCTGTCAGACTGTTCTTTCTCTTAAACAACAGCTCCAAACTGATGAACTGATGATCCTAATGATCCCATGTTCAATCATTCAAGTGTAGCATGGCAAAGCAGTAAACAATTTATCTCTAAATCACCTCTAAAATATTACTGCATTGCATCAAAGCAGATCAAAACATCTTTTCAACCTCCATAAGCCGTTGGAGGGCCAAAAATTATTATGTTGCAAGGCAAACCTGGCCTGTGGGCACACAGTCGTTCGATATTTACTGTCTTGAGCCCAAACTGAACTCATGCCAACCGTTAACCACCAGCAGCTGGTCAACATCATGAAAAATGTGCTTTGCTGTACTGCAGTGGGAACTGCTTTCCATGAACCTGTCATGCACATCAGGGCTTCTTCCAGTGTGCAGAAAAATGTACCATATTCAAATTCAAACAAGCACAATCACAGTTTTTTTTTGGCTTAGTTTTTAGTTAGGGTTTTTCTTTTCAGTGTGTCATTTTGCAGTTTGGTTTGAAAGCTCTTTGCTAGTTTGAGGAGAGAGTGCTTTTTCTAAAGTTCAAATAACTAAGATGACACTGTTCACTGTTATCTAATAAAGTTTCACAGTTATCTTGTCTGAAGCCACTGCAGTAAGGCCTCATGTTTAACCGGCTGCTTCTTGAAATGGTCCTACAGTACATGATGCGGTTTTCAGACACTGGGAGCTTACATAGCGCTCAGATTCTTCTCACACACACAAACATGCACATATAAAACAAACCAAATAATATGTTGCTCCAGAAGTCCTGATGTAATTTGTGTTGCTCTACTGAGTAAACCCTGTTTTGAAAAATACCTTCCTCTCAGTAAAAAGCTGGCATGATTGATACAACAGGTGCTGCAGTGTGCCCAGCAGACACTCAGGCTATGTGGAGAAATAAAGAATAGATTCATAAAGGAAAAAAGAAGACATGGATTAGCAATGGATAGATGGAGTGTGAGAAGAGAAGGAGGAGGAGATGAGGCGGCACTAGTAGGGGAGGAAAATGGATTATGAAAGAGAGGGAGAAAACATGAAAATGGGAAAAATGGGTGCTTGGAAAGGAGGGAGAAACAAATGAGGAGGTGATAGAAGTTAAAAAGGGTTAGGGATGAAGGGAAATGAGGTGGGGAAGGGGACAAAGAGGAGAAGATTAAGGTAGAGTGCTAATGCTGTTATCTTCTAGTGTCTGGAAAGCAGACTAACTAGCCATGCTCTGTGTGTGCTTTAGTATGTCCACGAGGATATTTGTGTTTGTGGACTTTTCCTTTGTGTGTGTGTTTGAATGTTTCGTAACTTGCTTTCCTTCGTATATGTGTGTGAGCACATGACTTGTCCGAGCGGCTAAATGCCACTCATCCTTCCTGGCCGAATCAACAAAACAGAATAGAAAAGATGATAGTTTTAAATGTCTGCCCTTTGGATCTTTCTATCTGCAATCTGTCTGAATCTGCAGAAGAAGAGGGGGGGGGAGAGACAGCAGTGGTGGTTTTGGGGTTGTTGGGTTCATGGATGGAGGGATGGATGGATAGCAGCATCGAGTGGGGGTTGAATACCTAGAGCTGAGCAAATTAAAGTAAAAGCAAAGGATGGATGATGGAGGGGTGCAGGGTGCATCTGGCAGTCCGGTGAACGAGACGACGAGCGTGCCTGGGAGGAGGGTAGAGAGAGGAAGGAAGGAAGAATGGGAAAGAGAGACAGAGTCGTGACTGTAGGTTGATTTACGGAGGCTTTCCTTTTAATGAAATTGTTTCACTGACAGAGCCGGTAAAAGGCCCTTAATGGATTGGCTGGCCTAATGTAATGAAATTACTCCCTCTTTCACTACAGAGAGAGCAAAAAAAGAATCAAAAAGGACATGGGAAAGAGGAGGAGGAGGAGGAGGAGGACGGGAGAGGAGAAAATGCAATTAATATTTACAGAACAGACAAGCAGGGTGGGCTTTAGTAGCTACGGCTCGCTCACTCTCTTCTTCACTGTGTCTACCTCTCTCATCCCTCTCTTTCCTGGTGGTCAGTGTGTGCTGGGCGTGCGGAAGGGGAGGGAGGAGATAGGCTGACGCCAAGCAGGCCACTTCAGTGCACCGGTCTCCTCTCTCACACTCTCCTTTTCCTCTCCTCTTTTCCTCAGGGTTGGCCATATCAGTGCTGAGGTGAGAGACTTAACCTTAGCTTGTGTGCTGTCGTCTGGACCGGGTATCCCTAGAGTGTGTGAGTGTGTGGGAGAGACAGTTTGCACCAGAGTCTCCTACCTGCTACCTGAAGCCCACTACTGGGATATCACCTCGCACACCCCCGCACAGGCACACACACTCGTCTTTTGTTAGTCCCTCCCCCAGCTGAGGAGACCTTGCAGACTTGTGCCTGACTCTCTCCCATCTCTCTCTCTCATCTCTGTGTGTGTGTGTGTTTGTCCTTTTGTGTGTGGTTGTGTGCTTGCTGCAGGCAACTGGACAGCAACCACATCAGCTGCATCGAAGATGGAGCTTTCCGAGCGCTACGCGATCTGGAGATTCTGTAAGTAGAGAAAACCCCCCACTCCTCTCACTCTTTCTCTTCCACCACCTCTTCCTCTCATCAGCCCCCACTTCTCCTCTCTCTCCCTTTTCATGTGTTGTCTGTGAAGCAGCGATCTGTCCTGTGCTTTCCTCCTCTCGCTATAAGCTTTGTCTTCTGTCCTATTTTGTTTCTCCGTCCTTTTATATGCTTCTTATTGCTTTCATATAAAGATTTCTATCCTGTCCTCTCCTCTCCTTTTACATGCATGTCATCCCTCATTCTCCTCATTCTTTCCTCTACTTTTCTGTCTCGTCCTTTTTTCATTCTCTTTATATGAATCTGCTGTATGTGTTGGACATGAGAAAAACTTTAACTTAAAGATGCTTTGGTTGAGAAGTTGTTTCTTTACATGTTTCTGTGTATGAATTACCTTTAGCTATTTCCCCGTGTATGGGTGTGTGCACTGATGTGCCCATCTAAGTACTTGTGTGCGTTGTTTGCAAGGATGAAGCATAGCATACCTGTTCATTCAGCGGCAAATGTGTCCTTGACTTATAATACACTGACACACACACAGGCATACACACAACCCAGCTGCTGTGGTTTGCACTTTCTCTGCACCATGTGCGTTTGTGCATAGGGGAATATATTAATGTTCTTGTGTGTTTGCTTCCAGCTGGGTATGAGTTTGTGTGTGTGTGTGTGTGTGTGTGTGAGAGAGAGAGAGAGAGAGGTGTGTGCGCAGGTCTGTGTGTTCGATCTGTCCGCAGTTTTAGAGCTGCTCATTTGAGGTGTGACTGGCGACTGATCGGTTGTGTGGTGAAAGGTGCCTACTTTCTCCACACTTACGTGTATGTGTGTAGACAGGTGAGTATCATTGTGCACAAGTTAATCTGTGTCCATGGCGTGCATGTGCTGTTGCACAGAAACAGATGCTGTGCTTCATTGCAACAACTGAGCTGTCCAAGATTATATTTCCCACAGTTTTTGTGCTACAGTACATGAAGTTTATAGTGTCAGAGCTTAATTTGGTGATAAACAGAGCTGGAAAGACATTAAACACACTTCTTTGGTTGGCACAAGCATTGGTTCATTTGTCTGCAGGGTCGTTGGCAATGCATTTATATTCTGCTGTATGGTGCTGAGAGGTAAAACCGTTAGTGATATTCCTCCTGAATATGTTTATTAGAGGTTAAAAGTATATAGTAAATCAGGCTGAGACAAAAAGAAAGACAGAGACGCTTAAGAACAAAAAAAGAGGCAGGAGAAGGGAACAGAAGAGGAGACAGCAGAGAGGAGGAAAGGATAGAGAGAAGGCTGACATCACTGTCCTAACCTCTAGTTTGTCTGTTCCTGGTTACATAGCACCGGGATACATGCCGGGTGATCACTACAGGTGGACATGATTGACGTCCATCACGTGAAACTCACAAGAAAAGACTCATGTTACTATTAATACAGAGCTGAAGTTGAAGCTTGATCAGACATTGACCCTGAATGAAGAATATAAGTCTAACTGGACTCTTCTGAAGGAAATCTGTCCCATTATCACATAAAGCCACATTGTAGGAGACTGACTATTAACACCAGAGACATTTATGTAAAATACATAAAATGTGCTCCAGACATGATACAAGCCAGAGTTGCAGTTTATGAAAAATTTGGTATCGTGTTCTTTTAAAAGTTTTAAGTAAAATAACGATCGTTTTTGACTCCTGTTTTATGTGCAATATACATTTTATTCTTGAAGCCACTAAATATAAAGGTCTTTGTAATGTGAAGGCTCAGAGAGATTGTGCTGTAGATGTGATATTGTTCTTGGTGCAGTCTGCCTAATGTGTTTACATGAATGATTAAAGAGAGCAGAGGATACAGTGGAAAATGGTTCTGTACTTTGGAGCTTCACTGAAGACCACAATCCAAATACTACTGCACATCAAGAAAGCAGAGATTTTTGTTGTAGATCTTTTTGTGCTGAAAGTATTTAATATAAACTTGAATTTGCTAGAGATGGTAAAAATATATCCTAACATCTTTAATTCAGCCTTGTGGTTCCCTTTCTGCCTTTTACTTCCTTTTAGCAAAGTTAGCTTTTTTGATTTCCCAGCCTCACTTTTTGCTCAGCGCACAATGGAAGTGATAGGGGGCAGATAGGGGGGCATCGACAGCATGAGATACAGCATATTAGCAATTCATAAGACTCTGACAGCTGAGTGCTCTGCAGGATTTACAATTCACTGTAAATACGCAGCCGTTTCCATTCACAGCAGACAGCATGATAGCACACAGTATATTCACTGAATGTGACATTTTAATAAAGGCAGGTGTGTGTGTGTGTGTGTGTGTGTGTGTTTGTGTGGACGTGTTTGAGCACATGTGCAATCGGCATGAAGGGCCGTATGCAATTCTGCCACTGGATTGATATTCATTTTGAGCATCCTAATATACACAGACACACACTCAGGCACAGATGTATGTATATTCACCCACGAGCACAGCCCCATCTGTTCGGTTCCTGGAGTTCATTTCGTGAACATCATACAAAAATGGGTCTGATAGAGGTAACAGTGATTGGAGGTCATGTGACGGCACCGCCAGGTTGGTGTGCACATGTGCGTGTGCACATGGGCACTTAAGCTGTTGCTACATGAATGTTTTTGAGCACTGGTTTGTGTTTGAGTCTTAACCCTCAATTGGCTATTTGAGGGTTAAGACTTGGTTTTAGGGTTTAGGTTAGAACTCTTAGGTTTAGGTCAAAGTTAGGGTTAATTAATCCATTAGTCAATTGGTAGTTAGGCCTCTCATGCAGCTGTAATGCTGGTTCCATCCTGGGGGATTTGCTGCTTTGCTCCATTTAAAATATTGTAAATATCACTGGATTTTTGACTGTTGGCCAAACAGAACATGCAGTTGGAAGATGTCACCCTGGTCTCATTGGGACTTTTAAGTATATTTAGACAGCTTATAGAGTATTACCCAGTTGACTGAAAGAATAATCAACATATATACTCATAATGAAAACAACTATTATCTTTGGTAGCAACTGGGATTAAGCATATGGGTGTGATAGAGGTTATGTTAGATGTTAGCAAAGGTATTAGATATGTGTGTACTTGCATTTGTATTTCCCTGTGGCTTAATGTGCAGGTGTGTGTGTGTGTGTGTCTGCCAGTATCTTTATGTTTTCTTATCTTCTTTTTTATATTCTTATCTATGAATATTTGTGTGCACGCATCTGTCTGTGTGTGTTTTTCTGAATCATCCACTAGTCACAACTGATGTATTTCCATCATTATCACTACTCAAGAATGAGTTAATACATGATGGAGCTTCAAAATCAGTCCAGTCAAATGACTGTATACATTTATGTGTGTGTGTGTGTGTGTGTGAATATACTTTTCTATATTTTAATGTCACTGTGTGCAGTGCAGTAATATTGTAGAAGAGCCGACATGTGGACTGGCAGGTGAAGGGATAGCTGTTGAGACCCTGTGCATGTGTGTTTCAGCCATTTGTGTGTATATGCGTCGTGTTAATTGAAAGAAGCGCAGCGCTGTGTGAGTGTGCCACTAACGAATCTGCACATTAATTAATCTAGTCATTTTTAATTAGCCGCTGTTTCTTGGTAGACCAGGCTTTATCAGAGCAGCTTAATATGTTTCACAGCAGCAGCGTCGACAAGTCAAAGCAGAATATTGGGGTGTCGGGTTCATTTTGAAAATGCTAAATGAATTTAGTTTGTTAGTTTTATTAATGTTACTGTAATTATTCACTTGAAATAAATGTGTGATGGACTGTGTTTTAATAATTCTTTTGTTAATAGCGTTAAAATTATGAAGCATTTCAAAGTATAGATTTTGTAAAATATAGATACATCACAAAAGTCATAATCATTTTTTAGTTGCACAAACTGATTGTTTATTAAGAATTCCTATTGTTATGACATGAATACATTATGTTATTTTTATTTTACAATAAGATAAACTGAAGCATAGCACATTTTTCATTGTTTTGACATGTTAATGTGTGCAGCCCTGTCTGAGATGTAGAGTGCATTCACCTGCAGCGTGCACACATCCTAAAGCACCTTGGAGCAGCATATAAAATCAAATACATACTGGTGACGGTGGTGTAAAACACTCAAAGTCTTCCCATTGATACATGGGTGCCTGGCAAATAATTCATTTCTATTCATGGTAAGCAGGTTTGAATCGTTGTTTATATGTATGTCTCAGTTTGACAAAAGAGTTTTGCTTCCTGACAGATACGACTAAAGACACTTTTACATTCACCATTTCCTTTGATATGTGCTCTCTTTACTCTTATGTCCTTAGATAGTCTTTTTCTCTCTCGCTTCCTCTTCTCTCTGCACTCTCTTTCATGGCTGCCAGGATGAAAGTGGAGGATCGGTGTTGTAAAAGCAAGCCAGTGCCAGGCTATGATTTATTTAGACTCCAAAGGACTGCGGTTATTATCCTTTCTTCTTTTTTCGCCAGAAGAGGCAAGAGACCAGAGAGATTGGGGGAGGATGGAAAGAGGGTGGTATCTGTGTTGTAAAAGCAGCTAGTTTCCTGGACATCATTTATTTATTTGCTGGACCTGAGGTGAGGGAGGGGGGGAGGAATCAGGTGATACAGAGGAAAAGGGAAGGAGGGAAATCCAGAGATATGGAGGCAGAAGATAGGAAGATATGGGTGCAGAAAAGGAAACAAAAAAAGGCAGGGAGATAAAGAAGACAAAGAAAAAGTTGAGAAAAAACACCCAGAGCAGTATAGACAGATACATAAAACAGACAGCTACAAGAGTGGACAAAGCAGGCAGACAGAAACTTGCTATTTGTTGCCAAAAGAAAAAGGAGAGGTAGGACACAAAGGTGTAAAAGACATCACAAAGTGAAAAGAAGATGAAGCAAGAGACAGAAAAGCAAGAGGAAACACTGATGTGATGTTAGTGGTTTATAAAAAGGACAGTGATAGAAAATAGATTGAAAGGATCAGAGGTAGGAGAGCATGCAGGCA